TTGTTAGTTTGTTTGTTTGTTGTTGTTGTCGTGTCGTGTCGTCGTGTGTGTGTGTGTGTAGTGTAGTGTGTGTGTGTGTGTGTGTGTGTGTAGAGAGAGAGAGAGAGAGAGAGAGAGAGAGAGAGAGAGAGAGTGCTTTTGGGTTAATTTTGGAAGACTGTCCTGCACATTTATAATGTAGAGATGGTCGGAAAAAGTTCTGAATGTTTTTTTACATATACAACCCTACATGCCTTTTGAGCAGTTGCATACTTCATATAAAGAGAATGGCGTTATTTGCTTGTGAGCTACTGCCTCAGAGATCATGTGATTTGGGCTTCGGGTTTACCCATACTCTCCAAGATTTCAAGCGAGTGCCTTGTTGTCGTCCCCTTCAATTCCCTGAGACTACCTTGGCAAATGGCCGAGTGTTTTGTTCAACCATTATAAAGAAAAGAGTAAGGTACAGGAAACAATATCCAGGCGAGTCAAAGGGCATTGTAGAGGAGATGAGATTTGTGGCCATGAGACTTCGAACTGAGGAAACAGAGGATGGACCTGAGGGGACATGGGAGCCCACGATTGAAGGTTACCTGAAGTATTTGGTGGACAATAAGCTTGTTTTTGTAACTCTCGATCGTATTGTTGATGAAGCTTCTCATGTTGCTTGTAAGCATCATTCATTAATAAGTATCCGAATTCTTCTTGTATTTTTTCTCAATTATGGTTTCTCCTCAATAAAATTATTTATCTACTGCCTTGGTACTATATACTGGATTGACTTGGTAATTTAGCTCTGGGAGAAACCTAAGTCATTTGCCACTTGTAACATGAGATCTTGTATTGGAAACAATTGTAGATTTTGTCTTCCAAAGTCTCTGCATGTGCTACTTCTAATGTGCACATATTGAAATAAGGGTATCGTTATTACACAACAAATCATGAAATTTCACAATTACATTATTTAATAACAATTGAATCATGAAATTCAAAACAACACTAAAAATTACATATAATATCCTGCTATTGGATCCCTACCAATCTGAAAAAGACGTATCAAGTGCTGGTTGACCCACTCTGTTTGTACTTCTATACATATAACTTAATGCATATAACTTCATCTCTGATAAAGGTAGTTATGCTTAGTTATTAATTTATTTGTGGAATTCTACTTACATGTATGTTTTATTTTATTTTTGCCATTTTGATCAAACTATTTCTGGCAACCTTTTAAGAGAATGATTAAACTTCATCTTTAACCCATATTGATTTTAGATTTCCATAGACATGTATAGAAATCCTAAAGATGGTGGCATTGGTGCATCCCAAATCTTGTGCCTTCCCCTTACCAGAATGGATCCTTGCTATTAATGCGTATCATGATGCATTTGGTGCTTCTTTACCTCCTGCCCAGAGTCCAAACCTCTTGTTGTTTCTTACCCAAAAGCTCTTGATTAATTAATGTTAATCAGGCTGCTACTGCTCTTCTAGAGTATTATCACTTTCTTTTAATTTTTCATGCCAGTTTATGGCATAAAAAACTTATGAAAATGAAAAAAATAATGGAAACTATTCAGAGTTCTTTGTCATGTTGCAGATGCTGATTTCAGAAATACTGGGTTAGAGAGGTCCATTGGTCTTTCAAAGGATTTGGAATGGTTTCGATTGCAAGGATATGTGATTCCTGAACCTTCCAATCCTGGAACTGCTTATGCGAAGTATTTGGAGGAAATTGCTGAAAAGAGTGCTCCTGCCTTCTTATGTCACTTCTACAACATATATTTTGCTCACGTAGCTGGTAGCCGAGTGATAGGGAAACAGGTATTTACCATTTCTATGCAAATGTTCATTTGAGTTTTCCTTCCATATATAAACATTTTCACTCGTGCTTTTAATAGTCATTTTCTTATGAATCAACTTTTGGGACCACTTAATCAAAAAATTTAGCACCAAAAATGTTCTTTGATGGCTTTAACTTTATGAATCTTGGCTGTCCTTAGTTCATTCAAGAGACTGAGATGACCTCCAGAATTTGATATTGGTATACATCATATTTTCTTTTAGCTTTTGTTTGTTGGTTCTCACCTTACCTGTAAATTGTTACTAATTCGGTTTTTCATTTCATGTTTTTGTCCAGCTTGCTGTAGATTTGTTTTCTTGCAAGTCTTCTTGAAGTAAACTGTTTGGTTTTTCACTCACCCCACACATACAACAAAAAAAAAAGACAAAAAGATAAAAGAAACACTTGGTGACATTTCTTGTGGCCTGCAAAGTATGTGTATGCCTTTGTGCTTTTTGTTCTTTTTGTTTTGGTTGGCCTCTCTCTCTCTCTCTCTCTCTCTCTGTGGCATCGGGGGACTTAAAGCTGTGTTTCCTATTGGGTTCAAAGATCATGATTCATATCTACGATGTCGTAGGTTTCTGAGAAAATTCTTGATGGAAAGGATCTCGAATTCTACAAATGGCAGGGAGATGCGGCTGAATTGTTGGGAAACGTGAGGGAGAAGCTGAACAATCATGCTGAGGTAATTTCCCTGGTTGAAATGCTTACAAACCCAGCCTCAATTTTTATAGGAAATATGATTGTTGCACATAATTTGGTAAAAAGAACATGCATTTCTATGTCATCAAGGTTCCATCGGTCTCTCTCTCTCACCTAGAACCTCCATGACATAAGAGATGAGGATTTTGATGGATCATATTCCCAGAGACATTTACCATCTCTTCCTCTCCATAACGTCATTTTCCTTGTCCCCAGAACCCCCAAGATATGAGAGATGAGTATTTTGACAAATCATTCCCAGAATTCAAACCAGTGTATTTTGTTGTTGTTCATGTTCAACTAGTGCAAGTAATAGGATTCACTGTGCTTGAATTTATCCTTAAAGGTCGATTTCCTTGCACTGAAAATTGTGTGCACTATGGATAAGGCTATTTCCTGTCATATGCCAAACCCCGGATGCAATTTTGTTACTAAATCATGGGCACACGTTCTAGACTGTTCATTTGAGCAAAGTTTAAGGATAAATGTTAGCAAATCGCTATACAGCTAAGTGTCTCTTAGTCTCTAGCTAATTCTGGTAGCCTTTTTGAAAATGTCAAGTCGTTTGAGACAAGGCCAACAATTCTGGTTTTTGTGGTGCAGTACTGGTCCAGATATGAGAAAAATAAGTGTTTGAGGGAGGCGGCAAAGTCTTTCCGCTACTCTTCGCAGATTCTTCGTCTAATCGTTGTTTAGCCCTGCATTGGGACCCAATTGAAGCCAATGAAAGCACAACACCACAATTTTTGCTCTCTCTCTCTCACTCACTACCATAATTTTCATTTTAGATTCTATGACAGAAACATTTGTTTCATGAGCAATGTGACGATGGCCCTTGCTTGACTGACAAAAATCACTCAAAGGTAACACCACAAGTTCTTTCGTTTTCCTTAGCTTTTCAGATAAATAGCACAATTCTTTCTCCATGATTGTACACCCAAACAGTTTGAGATTTGGCAATGTGATGACTGATATTGTTGCATCCATCATCAAGTAGCTATTGCACTTGCCGAATGCAAATCCCCTGACCCATAAGATCTTCAACAAGCAGTCTTACTCGGCCGGGCTCTTAAAAGTTTTAAGAGAAATTGAAAACGTGATGCAACATTGTTAAGACATAAAGTGTGTGTTGACTGTGGGTATTTAAGAAAATGGAATACATGATTCAAGATTGTTAAAGAAAAATTATTGGAGAGGTTTGTGGTGTCCGTTTTGTGTGAATGTCTGTTTGTGAGGTTCAGGAGCTTCCATCTTTGAGAAGAGTTCGAGTGTTTAAGTGATTTTCATTTAGTAGAGACTTTGTCCAGTTTCTAGGTTATTTAGGAAGTCAAGGTTTTGAAGGCAAGCTCTGCTTGCGGGTTAATGAATACCCTAAAATAGCTGTCAATTTTGTTTGATAACGGGAAGCTAGAAGTTTTAGACTTTTGGGAATCTGGACTTCTTGATGTCTGGAATTTGCTAATAGTGTTTTTGATAATGTAGCTGAAAGTTCTAGGAAATTTGGGAACCTGTGATAGAATTTGGAAATTTGGAGATCTGGAAAATAGTTAGTTTTGACCATTGTTATTAATTGATGAGTGGGTGATGTTGGTTAAAGGAATAAGATTTTGAAATCATAGCTCGTCCAAGGTAGGTCCGATAAATTGCATGGTCTAGATTAAATATGGTTATATGTCATGTTTTTTTTTCTTATATATGTATAGGGGGAAAAGATGGGATTAGCCACTAGGTCATATGAGTCCAACGGTTCAGATTGAATTTGAGCCATTCTGACGATCACAGATGTTTGGTAGTGTTTGAATTTTAATTTTTTTTCGAAAAAAACAAAATAACCAAAATACCCTTCAAAACTTTTCGGGAGTATTTTGGTCAATTTATTTCATATAAAATATTTTTTTGATATTTTTTGAAGATTTATCAATTTTTTATAAACACACGTTTAAAATTTCAAGTGAATTGGATTTATAAAAAAATACTAAAATTCAAACACTATCGGAAATTCATGATCGTCAGATCAGAGTCGTTGGGCTCGTATGTTCATGTGAGCTAGTGGCTTAATCCCATCTTTTTCCATATGGACATATGAATTAAACATCTCAGATTGATTTTGGGCCGATCGGATGATCATGAATGTCTAGTAGTGTTTGAATTTTAGTTTTTTTTTTTTACAAATCCAAATCACTTTAAATTTTAGACATGAGTTTATAAAGAATATGTGAATCTTTGAAAAATATCAAAAAAGAGATTTTATATAAAATAAATTGATTAAAATACCTCTAAAAACTTTCGAAAAGTATTTTGATCATATGGCAAAAGACTTTTTACAATTTGAAGGGTTATTTTTGTCATTTATTTTATTTGAATCATATTTTTCAACTCGTCCATTCATCAAGTGCTCACACACCTCTATAAAATAAATAAAATGACCGAAATACCTTCAAATTATTTAGTGAATTGGATTTATAAAAAAATGCTAAAATTCAAACACTATTGAAATTCATGATCGTCATATCAGTTCAAAATCAATATGAGTCGTTGGGCTCATATGTTTATGTGTACTAATGGCTTAATCCCATCTTTTCCCATATGGACATATGAATTAAACATCTCATATTGATTTTGGGCCGATTTGATGATCATGAATGTCTAATAGTGTTTGAATTTTAGTTTTTTTTTTTTACAAATCCAAATCACTTTAAATTTTAGACATGAGTTTATAAAAAATATATGAATCTTTGAAAAATATCAAAAAAAAGATTTTATATAAAATAAATTGATTAAAATACCTCTAAAGACTTTCGAAAAGTATTTTGATCATACGGCAAAATACTTTTTACAATTTGAAGGGTTATTTTTGTCATTTATTTTATTTGAATCATAATTTTCAACGCGTCCATTCATCAAGTGCTCACACACCTCTATAAAATAAATAAAATGACCGAAATACCTTCAAATTTTTTAGAGGTATTTTGATTATTTTATTATATTAATTTCTTACAACGCCACAAAGGAGCACAAACTCTTCAAATTTCACTTAAATTTGAGTTAAAAAAATATAAATAAAGAATAAGCCAACAATGTACAATATGATTGGCCTGTCCAAAAGGGAGAGACGGGCGAGCTCCCGAACTTTGGCTCTCCATGGGGCTGAATTGCAAGGTTCAGTAGCTCCCCCCTTCATTGAATTCCTCGTAGGTCTGCAATTGTTCTTCAAAAGGCCTACAGAAACCATTTCTTTTATTTGAAATAAAAAATTTGCTCAATTAATGGGAAAAAAATAGACTTTTCCAATCGTTCTTAATTCATTTAGAATTGAGCTAAATTCACGAGATGGGCAGGGAGTGAAAGAGTGCGCCAAACCTTAGAACCATCAAGTTATTGGATTGCGTCCCTTATCCATCCACACCTTTTTTTAATGGACAGCGGAGATCATATCAGAATCTTGATTTTTGAATGTAATTTTTGTTTAATTTCGGTTGTTCATGATAGGTCGATGGTGGGCGCGTCGGATGATGATGCAGTCCAATCACAGTGTCCCCTAACACATAAAAACCAGACCTCTAAAAGAGTATGTTGCGTGAAATCTGCGTTGTTTGTGCAAATAGCCACAAACCAAAAAGCAATGCAGATGCATATAAACAGGTCATGGTTAACAAAGTCGATATTAGCAAGCCTATATCTCAAATTCGGTTCATACGGCTAAAAATACAAAACAAAAAAGAAAATTCTAGGAATTGGGCGTGGGCTTGAGCGGTTAGTGGTAGACATAAGGAATGTTCCGGTTCAAGTTTTATTCTAAGAATTGGGCCTGGGCCTGGGCCTGGGCCTAGGCTTAATTGGTTGGTACTTGACAATTTGCAACAATACATCTTAGACTCAATTCCTACCAATGGTAACGGCTCTCTCCCCCATTGGCTCACCCCAAAAAAAATTTCTATTAGATATTTTATCAAACTACATCTAGGATTTGAACTATTTAACATCCTACCCATATAGTTTGATCTAATATAAGATAACCCATCATTTTTTGGTCAAATTTCAAATAGCCTATCAAATGACACGTCAAAATGGGGTTTGAAATTTACCAAATTTCACCTAGACTAACAAGCTAAATATTTTAACTTTTAAAAGGGCATTGGCATTCTAACGATGGCATCACTGTTATACCATTATAATGCCAATGCCCTTAGCCATGAGCATGGTCAATAAAATATTTTAGGACCATGACTATGAGCATCAACAAGGTATTAAAGCATCCTACAAAGTAAGAAAGTAGAAAATACTACATACATGATATGATCTGTAAATATATAACCCTGATATATTTTTACATTTTTTTAAATTTGCTCCTCATGTGACTAAAATATCACTTATCCTCCAATTTGCTTTCTACTATCAACGTATCGAAAACAAATGGGAAGCAAAGAAAAAACTCACACTGAAAAATATATTAACATTCACAAGAGCAAGCATAATGCAAAAGGGCCGAAAAGTGACCACAGTAACCCCCAAAATAATGCTTACTCAAAATCAGGGTCCAACTCTTTCTTTTGGGTAGTTCGAATGTAAGAATCAAACATGAGATGTGGCATTGCCAACATCACCTATGAAGCTCTCAGGCCCAAGCCGATTCCAAATATTATATTCCACCTTCCTATGGCCAAAATACATATAGAGGACACTTTTGCATGTTCCGATAAATCAGCAATGCATTTCGTAACCTAGCAACAGCCCACATATCATATCCCCTACAAAAATGAAGAATATAGATAAGCCCATAATCAAGCATCTTCACGTGGACACCGAGCATCACTATCAATAAGTATCGAAAGTATCCAGTATTTCAGCCTAAAAAGCTTATATGGTTAGATACGTCTATATGATTATTATTTATAAATAAAATATCATAGCTTTTTGGTATATATAAACTAATTCCCCTTTTTATACAGGTGAATGTGGAGATGGTAGAATGGATGAAAGCAAGTTAAAAATGACCCAATTTCAAAACTCAAAACTCATCATGTCCCCCTCTATAATTTTAAATTAATTTATCCTCAAATCTCAACTTTCAACATGTATCGAAGTGTCGACACTAGTGTAGGGGTGACACATGGGGATAACTCTCTCTCTCTCTCT